AAGGTGATGTGATTCAAAGAAACTTTAAAATAATTTAACTGGAAATTTGAAAGCATGCTAAATTTCCATTTTAAAAGCTTCATGTTGTGGAATGAACTTGGTGACTTCAAACTGCGGACGTTGCTGTTAGCAGCCCAATGCTTAACCCGCTATACCATCAGTACTCCCTGATGCCAACCCAAAGGCACCCACCCTGTAGGGCAGAATAGAACTGCAGCCCCAGGGCCTCGAGGCTGCCGTCTTCACAGAAGCCGCTTGCCAGGCCTTTCCCCACAGGGAAGCTGGCAGGTTCAAATCTCTGACCTGCTGCTCAGCCACTGCACAACCAGAGTTTCTTAAATACTCATACGTTGGAACCCTTCAATCTGCTATGAATTTCTCCTTGGTATATATTATTATCTAAGAAAAGAGGGAAATTACCTTGGCAACAACAATTGTCTGCTTCCTGGGAATATTATCCAGATGTTCTCTCTTAGTTCTGGTGTTAAGTGTAAAGCCTTTGGGTCAGGATGGAAAGCTGCTCACTCTTGGTCTCTCTCACCCTTAAGATACACACACACACACACACACACACACACACAATGTAATTCTGCAGTCAGCAATTTGAAACTACTGGCTGCGCTTCAGGACAAAGATGGGGTTTACAGTCTCAGAAACGCATAGGGGCCATTCTGCCTTGCTCTATGGGGTCTATGTGAGTTGGCATCGACTTGATGACTGAGTTTGTTCATCTTCTGAAAATTGAAAAATATGTATTATCTATATCTATATGAAGCAGTAATAAAAATGCCACAATGTTAATTCATATAATTAATATGACATGAAAACAAATATAGAGAGTATTTAGATGAATAGTAAGTGTTAAAGAAAACTCTACTCAGGTATGAAAGATTTCTTCAGGAAGTTGCTCTCTTTCGCTCCCTTGTCATACATAGGCTGGCTGCGATGAATTTTTGTCGGTGACCCTAGCACCTGGGTTCCCACACAGCTAATGGTCTTGGCCCAGGCACCAGGCTCAGCTGATCTCTAGCCGGACCAATAACCTAAAACAATTTGGCCATAGAAAGATGAACCCCCCAAAAGAAAGATGAGCCAAGTTACCTCATCTTGGAATTTGAACTGTGAAATGTCAGACAGAGCGTAACTTGGTTAGTAGGAGGAGCTGAAGCTGCAAAGGTGCATAGAATGAGAAGCCCTGAAGCCTTGAAGTCTTGGGGTGACCACAGCTCCTGCTAGTAGGAAAGGCTCCAGAGAGACAGGGAATGAAAGAGCCGTTGCTGGCATTCTCTGCTCGTGATGACTTTTTGTCAAGTCCTCGAATGAATCCCCGACTTAAAAAAAGCCCATCTAAAACCATTACCAAAACAAACCAGCAAACTGCTGCTCTCCAGTGGGCCCCACCTCACGGTAACACCAGGTAATGCCAGGTGTGTCCAAGGTGAACTGCATTCCACTGGGTTTTTTTTAGGCTGTAACTTTAACAAAGTAGATTAGACCTTTTGGCTGAACCATCTCTGAGTGAGTTCAGTCAACTACCAACATCACAGTTGAACACTCACCATGTTACACTATCTTGTAAAACCACTACCTTCTGGAAAGTGAGCCTTACCCTGAGAGCAGCCTGCAGCA